AAACAAGCTGGGTCCCCTTTCCATGAAAGGAATGATCGGTGCATTAAAATCAACTGAAAGAGCCTATTATTATTTATATTCTACTGGAATGGAGCAATAAATCTTGAGAGAAAAGTGACGCATGTATTTCCAAGTTGCCAAATATATAATAGACAAAGGAGTCCAGAAAAAACGATGTTGGGCATCAAACGAAAGGATCACAGTCGAATTTAGCACCAAATAAAAAAAAAGAAAACATGAGGCTAGATCTACACGGGTCGCGAACTTAAAATAGTGTTCAGTATTTGCCGACAACGCACGATAGTATCGAACGGAAGTACGACTTGAAATAATAAACAAACCTGGCGGATTTTCTAAAATTACAGAGACAGAAGCGTCGGCCTACAAAAGTGATCGGCGAAATAAAGAAATTTAGCTTTTTGCAGAAAAACTGTCTCAAAACTGAAAAACCCAAGGGCGTCATGATCTGGAGAATATTTTTAAGAATCTATTGGCGAAAACCGCATGTCGATCGATGCAGCCATTAAAAAGCCTTTGGAATAGCAAAATTCGGCCACCTCAAATAGATGATAGATAAGACACAGCTTAAAAATCTCTCTCGGACGTCCGCGCGCGCACACTTATCATGTTTCCTGTCTCTGTCTGTAACAAATTCAGCGGATTCATTGCCGCCATCGAGACAAAGTTGTTTAAATGTCCGAGAAAGATCTATTCACATGTCTGTCTTCTTCACTACAAACAAATACATTTAAAAAGCAAATTACCAATACTAATCAAAATCGTAATACATCAAAATTCAAGCAATTATAAAAATCTTGTCTTAGCAAAAGTAGGCTGAAGAGGCTAAAATTCTCCCTTTGTAAACAATTTTACTACGTTGAAAAAGTTTAGGGTAAATCGTTTCCTAAGAGAAGAAAAATATTGACCAATTATTGCAGTAACAATTTACTTAACTGATTGTGCCCCTTTGCAATCTTTTGTTTTTAAATTATATAGCCTTCTGGTGTTTTCTCTCCCTTGTTGGAGATAAGGGGGTCTGGGATTTCCCGAATGATGTGTCGCTAACCCATAGACTTGAATTATAACATAACTAGCTGGGCTCCCTTTCGATGAAAGGAATGATCGGTGCATTAACATCAACTGTAAGTCATTGGTCTACTATATTTACACTATACTGGAATGGAGCAATAAATCTTGAGAGAAAAGTGAAACATGTGTTTCCTAGTTCACAAATATATCATAGATGTATAGATCTAGATTGATTCTCTATTCCGCTTTCGTGTCTGTGCGCTCCATAATTTCAAAGGTGTGGGACCAATGCGCACTGGCTAGTGAACAGAAACCTCACTTGTTTACAATGGCGTCTAAGAAGACGGACTTTCCCTAGATTAGACGAAACAAACATTTTTGAAAGAATCGGGGAAAGGAGTTTGCGTAGAATTTTTAAGGTTATGTCCTAGCCACATGGATGCTGTGGGCGCCTGCAATGTTTCAAAGGTGTGGGTTAGTTAATAAGGGAGGAGTTTGCGCACAAAGCCTCCAAAGTCCTATGCGCGATAGTATCGAACGGAAGTATGACTTGAAACAAAGATAGTAAATAACAAGATGGGCCACTCAGCCAAAAAAGTGTCCGCAGGAAGTATGCTCTTTGCTTCAGATGGCACTGCAGTCTGTTTTGAAGCTCTCTTTCGTTTTTCCAGAAGAAGAATAGGAATAGCACCTACTTGCGTGCGCAGATCGACTGCTGTTCATCGGCAGTTCGGGTACGTTCAGTGCGGAGTTTTAGTTTTTTTGTTTTTTT